AGATTTATTTGGGTGGGTTATAAACTTACGTGTTTGGTCCTTGGACCTGAGATAGTCGTCCACCTGCCGATATGACGAGTATGGGACCGAATCACCCTTTTATTGTGTGGGGAGCATGCTTCCTATGGCTTGCGTCAATGTTTGCTATAACTTGGTCATTGCTTTTATTCTTTTGTAAGTATCAAGTGAATAAGATGCGGGTCAAATTCAAATACATTTATTTGTTGTTTTAATCGGTTGATTTGGAAGTTATTTTCACGAATACTAACTGCTTAACTAAATAGTACCTCGTTTGGTCCAATGGTCGACGTAAGCAAGACCAAGCATGGGGTCTGCGGTTAGATTCCCTGATACAATTTCTTTTAAAACATTCCGCGTATCTAACACGGAGTTAGGATTTGTGCGCAGGGGTGAGACTCGTATTGTGTGATTATTATAAGTAAACTGAGTGTTACCCTTGTGTTTGCTTGCTAAAAAATAATCATCTCCTGTCTAGGTGTTGGTGATATATTGATGTTAACTGGGACAGACGTCGTTAACGCGATTGTTTTACTGTCTGGAATTATAATGCTCCCAACTAACGTACACATTCTATGTTCTATAGCAAATGGTAGACGGATTGAGTAAGTTTGTATTGTGTATAGTTTCTCCGATATAATGTACCATGCCCTAGATAACACAGCTAGGCGAATATCGGGAAAGGAAGAACATCAGAATGAGTTCACAATAAAGTAGCCTTTTCGAATGGTTTTGAGATTTTTTGGCAGATTCAACACCTTCGTGCGAACTTATAATGGCGCGGTACATTAGTAAACCAATCGTTAAAAGCTTAGTCACATTTTCAACGAATGAACTCAATGCTTGACATATGTTACTATATCTTTAATTGCAGTTATAAGTCGAAAGTGGTTTGCTGTCCACTGTGGCTATGCATTGTATGGATAATAATAATAAACATGTTGGGAGCTGCGTTTTGCATTCAAAAGATTTATTCTGGCAAATATCCAACCCTTGAAAAGATAAACAATACTATAAAGCATTATAGAAGTGTACCAAAATATAAACATTTTGTTGATAACTTGCAGTGGTCTTTGAAATGTTGTGGGGTATGTTTCATTTGAATTTTTAATATCTAGATGTTGACTTCTGACATTACTGTGGAAATTTTATAGAATATTTAGTAGTAGGTATGTGTAGCGACATACACAAGTAATTATTTTGTTTATTTCAGCTTAATTCCTATAAAGATTGGTTTAACCATGATTGGTACGATAAGATACGTGACTATGAATGGGATCCGAGTGCTAATAAACGCAATGGCTACAAGAGAAGAGAGTTGGAGACTTTGTCAGATAGCGTTCCATTAAGGTTCAACATTTGATTCATTATTATCATAATTGCTTAGGTTAACATTAATTACTATACATATTTAAATGTGAATTTATTCGGCTCAGAAAATTAAATTCGTGGCCATCCGCAGTCCGACCAATCTCCTCTTGTGACTAGTAAACAACATAGACACATTTTTTATAGTGACAACTTTGATAGTACACAATTATGTTTGGTGTTTGTTTCACAGTTGCTGTAAAAGTGGATCATGCATATCAAATTATTTGCTAGAACTGGGGACTCACTCAATTAACACTAAAGGATGTGGGAATTTAATATATCGCATTATATTGTCATCAATGGTAGCTCACCTTATAATGTTCATTTCTGTAATTATAGTTGAGGTACGTCAGTTTTATTAGTTGCAAGTTATGCGAATACTTATTTGGATAAATTGTAAAATTGTATGCCTGTATGTAACCAAGGTATTCATATTAGTTGTTTTTTCAACAGATTTTAATTCTAAAGTATATCATTCAAAATAGTCCTTGCCCTCAAGATAAAAGACCGGTGAATATGAATGTACGACACATAATGTCCGTGAATGATCGATTCGCCTCCAGCAACTCACTTCAAATGAATCCTGATGATACTGATTATGAGAATGAAGTTCATCTTGGAGATGTACGAATGGATGGTTCAGGGTATGTTGACACCTATTTGTAGTTAATGACAAACTGTGTACCATCCTACCTATTACGTACCTACATACCTAGTTATTTATTACCAGTACCTACGTTACTTGTCATTTCGACAACGACAAATCATGATTTTCGATTTCAGTCAAATAACGGCTCAAAAGATTAAATTATAATTAACTTTTCACTTTGTAGATTAACGATAGTTAATCGTGTTATTGAAGATGAAGATTCAGAAAGTGCGAAGGAGACAAAAAAGTGGAGATATGAGGATGACTAGTTTGTACCTACTTTACTGTGACTGTTAAGATGGTTTCATTAAAAAAAGAAGATAATACCTTCGTATGCCATTCATTCTTCGAAAGAATATTCTACCTACCTAATATCTATCCAAACACTGAAAATAATTATGGTATAATTAGTTTGCACCTATTACACCGGCTAGAAATATGAATATGCTATAGAAAGAATCTACAAGTTGGTATGTGTCGACTGAAAAAGTCTGCAGATAATTTTTCAACCGATAAATATTTTTTATTACTCAGAAAATAAAGTTGACGTCTGACATTATTTTGTATGGGTATGGAAGAATTATGAATGGCAAAATTACTATTCCTACGATAGAGTTATCTGGCGTTAGATAAATTGGGCCGGGCCCCAATTTCTATATCTATAGCGCGGTCCTATGAGTATTTGCTCTAAAAAGGCATTGGTTTCGGTATAAAAAATAATTAACGGTTGTCGTTGACTGATGTCACGGCATTTGACAGTTAACAATACTTACATGTCACTGTCACTGTGACAGAAAGCTTTCAACTAAGGTGTTCTTCTCTTGTCTGTATTGATCTTGATAAATAAATAATCTTCTATATTACTTATTGGAAAGTAAGTATAGAAATATATAAAATTGTTTTCAATATTTTAGTCCGCTTTCTTAGTAAGCATTGAAAACTAATTTACAAACATAACCTCAATTGCAGACCATGGTGTTCCTAACAATAGCTAACTGGGTACGTTCCCGAGGGCCTGATGAGTTTTGGAGAAAAAGAAGAATGTTTAGGCTCGCTGCACATTACATAGGACGTAGAAGAAACTGTTATTCTGTCACTGTTCGCAATGTTCACAGAGCATTAGTTTATGCAACCAAAGCTAGGAAGTTGAAGAAGCAGGACATGATTGATCTATGGAGCACTAGAATTACAGCGGCTTGTGAACAACATAACATTACACCTTGCACATTAAAGCAAGGCTTGGACCGTGCTAACATCATGTTAGACCGTAAATCATTATCTGACCTCGCTTGTTGGGAACCACGGACATTCGAATGTTTAGCTGCCGTAGCTAAGCAGAAGCTAGAGTATGATGGAGTTATTGACTATACTGATAAGAAATACCCTACAGGTGTGAATCTAAAACTAAAAGATGTTATGCTTGAGGCTTGGCTGAAGGAAAAGAAACAATAAATTATTTCAACATTTTATTACCTATTATCTAGTAATTTTAGTTCCACATTAGTTCTGTAAATAATAAATATTACTTAACACAAATGCTTTTCATTGATTAGCTCCCTAATTCTTTCTTTAGTTTTTTTGTTAATTCATTTTGCTTTTCTAATATGTAAAGGTTTTCTATTTTTCGTCTTTGCTGTCTCTCCACATCCTTTATTACTCCTTCATGCATTCTCTCCCTGAAATATTAATTGTTTTGTTATTATAAAGGGGAAAATTAAGATCATATCAGCAGATATAAAAAATATAGGTAAAGCTGTCTGAATGGGCAGAATAGATATTTACAAGTAAGAAAATGGAAGATTACCCAATTTCAGTTAAATTCAAAAGATGGTTTCAAAAGAAATGAAGCACCTGCATGTATTTCTAATAATATTACCTGTCTGTTTGTTGTTTTATGTGCACATATGATACAATACCCAAAGTGACTGAACATGACAGCAGTAAAACAAACTTAGACGTTCCTGAAGACATTATTACTTAATAGAATTTGTAGGACTCTCAATACACATAATTAGATTGTATTATCTTATGAATTCCAAGATAATATTTTTAAGTCGAAGAAAATGTTGTCTCGAAACCTGTCACTTGCGGAACAAACCGAAGAAATTGTTTTGTCAATGTCATTTGGCTTGGCATTTGACAATCTTCAATCTTGACATTTCAATTCCAGTTGGTTCAGTGTTACCATATTATTTTTATTTTTTTTATTTGACTGATGTAAAAATATGGGATTATATGAATATGGCAATTGTGATTATATTAATATCTGGATAATAATATGTAATACACCAGTTTCATTCCTATGATTCAGAACAGAATTATTTACTGATCTGCGCGCGCGCACGCACGCACGCACTAACATTAATTTTTTTACTACTAAAAGAATTACATAAGGTTTAAGGTAGCCCGCGAAATTTAAATTTTCTTATGTTTTTTGGTAATATATAGCTCGATATCGATATCAAATAGTATGATGATAAAATAAAACATATAGGGAAGAGAATAGCAACATAGGGAAGGGACATAAGGTAATTTTTTTACTAAAATGATGAACTCTATACAGATAACCTTAACCCATAAGTGGGTGGAAGAATATCTGGGTGCTTGCTTGTTCCTTTTTTTTGACTTTTCTGTATTTCATAGGTATTGACTTTTAATTGCGGATAGTTAGAAATTCGTGGGTTGCTTTGAAGCCTATCATTATATTATATTTTGGGAATGAGATTAAAAAAAGACACATATAAATAGTCTTTTTTTCTTGATAAATTATTAGGTATTAAAAGAGAGTAGGTACCTAAAGAGTAAACCTACGATTAGTAAAAATAGTGATGAATTATATTCTCAACAATTCGGGATTTACTATCACATTGTAATTTTGTTATGCCTTTGTAGGATATTTTCACCAATATTTATTTACCATATTATGCTTTTTGGAAAACAAATAAAAAAAAGCAATTTACCTTCAGACTTAATCTTTTATTAAAAACTTTTAGCGTTGTATGCACTAAGTAGGTAGGGACCAGCTATGTTTATTGCTAGGCACTAGAATATTGGAACCAATTTCATAAGCTCAAAGTGCCTACCTACCTAATAATAGGTGTATGTACGGTAAAAATAAGTTGTACTAACATTTTTGTAATTGTTACACGTAAGTACCTAATTAGCAAATTGTAGGTAGGTACTCACATACATAGGTAACGTGAAAATGTCGATTAAATGTGTTATGGTCACAATTTATTTCGTTAGTTAATTTCTTTTTAAATGAAAAAGTTTCTATCGTTCTTATGAATTGGTTCCACAGATTTTGTGAATTTTCTAAATGAAACAGACGCACCAATAATCATTTCCTCACTGGTAACAAAAAGTGCCTGAAAAGTGCTTGTTCGTTGCTATAAAAAAGACGAATCTTTTGTATGTATATTTATCAGCCATTTTTACAAAAACATAAATATAAAATTATAACGTTAAGTATTTACAAAGGTTTCTTATTTACTAATTTATTACAAAAACTTTGAGTATTCCACTAATCGATAATATTATCTAGGCACCTAATACTTAATACAAAGTTAAGTTCAGTCAGTTACTGAGAATTTTGTAACAATAAGTATAAATATCATGTAAACTTAGGTACATTATTAAAGAACATCTAAAATCTTGAGGATTTATTTAAAATGTTTTGTAATATCGTCTATAATATTTACAATTTTTCTTTGTCAACAGAATTGATAAGTTAGTCTCCTTAGTTATGTAAAACCATATATGTTAGGTACTAGCCTCCTATCTAGGTACAAGCCAAGTTTGTACTCACCTAGCATGAATGAAAAGGCATAGCAGGAGCTTAAGTTATTTAAACACGTTTTGAAAACTGATGAACTTGCACACAATTTAGCTCATATTGTAAATCTACCTACATGCAATAAAACAAGTGTTCATAATTTAAATAAACGCATGTAAATGTTCACCCTGTAACAACTGCACACTGAAAACAATCACTGGTATAATTACACTTCGACAAATGTTTGCTTTTCGTTCTACTACGTCCACTTTTCATTTAAAGCTTACTCGCAGAGTCTATATAAATAGACAGCAAAGTCTATAGTGGGAAGCCTACTGGTTATTATGGCACAGCTACCTGCCGCAGTTGTCATAGAAACTGGCAGAGCCCCGGTTGGGGATTTCAGCAAACTCGCGTTTTGGTGTGCACAATTTTGTGCTGAAGTCGACATTTCTTTTCCTGCAAAAGCAGAAAATAATTTGTAGAAACAGCCTGAAAAAAATTAAATAAACCAATAATGAACAGCGCATGTTACCCTCTGCTTGGCAGTTCCATTTGGTCGACGAGAACTGATTTGACGTACAATCGGTCATTACACCATAGTATGCAAAGAGATCGCGGCTCCAGTACATTCATGTCGTACTCCCACGATAACTCCACCTAAAACAACAGATGACGAAACATGTTTATCATCAACGCACACTTGATTGTTTCTTTTTTCAAAAAAGAAACGATTGGAGGAAACAGCGCATTTGTACATTTGTATTTCGCCTATATAGGTTCGATATTTATCTACACACCTTTCTAACTTTTCCACCCAAATCCATAGGGTGTGTGACCACTATGGTGTAGGTAGTGCCATGTTCTAATCTGTAAATAAAAAAATTGTTAGATGGTCGTAAAAATATCTAGTCACTTGAAAGTAGTATGAAAGTCAGACAAATTTCAGACCACACTCACTTAACGTAGTTATTTGGTGTTAAATCCATTCCTCTAATTACGCCTCTATCGGACATCAAAGTTACTTTGAGGAAACCCTGTGGACAATAATTTATGTATAGGACTATAGGCTTAATTATTTTCAGCGGCCCAGATTGAATTTTGGAATTTAGATTTTTGGTAAATCTAGTTCAGTAGGTTTCCTTGATAGTGCAAAACAATAGAAAAAATAGGTAGTTAATGCTATCACCTGCACCCACGATTCTGCTCCTTTAGGATTTGCCAGCTGAATAGCTACACGGTAATGTCGTTCTGAAATAAAACCACGAAATAAATTATGAAATTATATTACAATTAATGATTACTTCTATTCTATGTAAGATAATATAAAATAATAGAACAAAACTGGTTTCTATTCCATGGGTAAGTACGACGGTAGGGGGACATCAATTTTGTCTGACAGTTGCGTTTTATTTGGTCAATACTACAATAGGTACTTTTACGTTCATAGGATGTTGAATAGTACCTATTCATTAATCTATTTGATACATATTAGAAAATTGTCATACACCCGGTACTAAACGGTTGATCAAAACAATAATCGCATTTACCGACATCTCTTTCCGATTGTCCATTATATGCAAAGTTGGCCTGGACAAGGTTGTCACCGGATTTATTAAAAAAATCGCGGTTTTGGCTTTCTTTTGCTTAGTTTCGAAAAGGTGTTTTGCAAATGGGTAACTGATTAACTGGTCTAAAACTATATGTTAAATAATATGTTAATATGCTAAATGTTTTGGCAAATGTCATATTACTAAACCACATTCTAAATTAGCAAGTATTGTGTTGTAACATGAGGTTGAAAGCAATCAGCCACATGCCGTTATTAGGGAGAAAGGAACCTCATTTCAGATGTTATGTCGTAATGCAAGGGTCAACTGCACCTCGTCAAGAAGAACCCTATTCAACCGCCATGAATAATACAACACACACAACATGCATAATTTACTTTATAACTCTAGTTTATATTAAGGAAATACCTCTGATTAATATTTGCAATTTAAATATGAAGCTTTTAATTTTACAGCCATCGAATTTGATTAATAAAACGAAACTTTACTAGCTACGCTAAATGTGTAAAATAAAATACTTACGACAATAAGGCAGGTCCTTGCCTGTGCTGAGGTAATATTTAGCACCAATGGTATCGTGCTCCTCAGATGGGAACACTTCATTTTCAGATTGATTATTTTTGTTCGTAATCAAACCCGGGGAGCTGTCTGCGTGGAATCTATTACATCAATAAATATCGGTAAAAAATAAATTGAAATTAAATCGTAGGTAATTAATTTAAACAACTGAAATAGATCATACCCCATTATTGCGCAACCGTGTCCGCAATGGAAACATTTTCCTGTTAGAAAATGTTGGTATGACGGGCACTGATGTCCTGAAAATTTGGGTAATGTTAATTAGGGCTGCACATTACCAACTTAATCATAGGCATGGAATTTAACTTCCTTACCTACCTTAAATAATAATTCATTATAATTCACACGATATTTCTTACCTATATAGGAACACTTTCCATTGATAGATTCTGTGAAAAGTTTAATAGCTCTAACGTGGTTGCAGGCTACTAGTACCCTGGAAGCTTCCTCAAGTCCTTGTTTGACGAGTGTCAAAGGTACGAGCGGTCCTTCGGTGAGGTCACAACCTGGTTGCTCCTTCCCGTTATTCGGGTAGAAATCCAAGTGACCGACGGGTTGTGACATTCCATATCCTGCCATAAACACAAAATCTGTCGCACGCGTGAAATAAACCGTCGATTAATTAGTTACCATATCACGCGATAAATATAATTTTAATTTAATTCTTCGAATTAATAAGTTTGGTTCATCTATTCAAGAGATATTATGATTTTAAGAACTTGGGTATGACTAATAGAAAAATCGAACCGAGCGCGGCCGGCTGCGGCCGAGCCGAGTAAGCGGTAGTACATTTTTTAGTATTATTAAACATTCATTTACCTAGCTTATTCTTCTTCATTTCATTTTATAATTAGTACATAACATATTACTTAAAGCTTCGTTATTTTTACTGACTGAGTTGCCGCGACGGGAAGCTCCGCGTAGGTACCTACTTATGTTACATAACCTAATCACATTAAAATAAAGTAACTTTCATAGAACTTACCAAGACAAGACTATCAGAAGAAAAACTCACACACAATCTAATCACTAAGCGATGGTCTGCGATAGTTTATAATTCTTTACCAACTTTTGTCAATACAAACTTCACAGTTCTTCGTATAACTTTGCAAAATCAATTAACAAATAAACAAACACAGTAATAAAATGTACTTATATAAATAGACAATTTTATACCGTTTACTACAAATTATTTGCGTAGAATTACTAATCGTATTCTAAATCAAATAACAAAATTATCCGAAAATCCACGCATCGCACGTAAACAAAAACAAAAAAATTGTCACGCGCGAGCGGCGTGAAGTTCGCTGCGAGGCGACCAATGAGTAAACCAAGACACGGAACGTGATTGGTCGGCACGCGGCGAACTCAATCACGAGTCGTCAGGCCGTGCCTGCAGGCAAGCTTCGCGACGATAAAATAAACGCGTCTGTGCACTACGCACACAATGACGTTCACCACTACACGCTTAAATTTATGAATGGTTTGCAGGCGACGGAACCGCGTGCCTGCCTCGCGCGTTAATGTTTACAGCTATATACGGTACGCCTGGCGAAATGCAACACGTATCGCGCGCCATCATTGTTGCTATACTATTTATTTTAGGCGTTCACTAATTTTATTATAATTATTATTTTAGTATTCTGTAGTAAAATTAAAATGTTTATATCTTTTATTACGTAGTGTTATTCACGGTATTTGTAAGGTAGGCAAAGCCTTTTTGCCTATATGGACTGCACGCCACTGGAACTCACGAACTGCATATAAAAGCGCTTTCCGGGAGATTGAGCTCAGCTGCTTTTTCAGTTAGACAGATTAGACAGCTCACGGACGTAGATACAGCAAGGCTTGTCTATTTTAGTTTTTTTCCACACCATTATGTCGTACGGCATTTTGTTGTGGGGTCGAGCTGCAGACATAGAACCAATTTTTATTCTACAAAAGCGGGATATCCGAGCAATATATAACTTATGTACGCCGCGCCGTTGCGAAACTGCTTTTAAAAAAACCGACTTCAAAAACTAAAGACAAACGAAAAGTAAAAACTAAAAAGGAAAAAAATAACTATTTTTGATCATACATACTTATAGCTTACACGCCCACTGATGCTGACCTGATGTATAGGTGCTCACACCTAGCTTCACTGACGGACTGACTGACAGACTATTATTTATTTTGTATTTGTTGACGTTTCAAAAGTACCAAATTATGGTTTAATTGAAATAAATGCAAAGCATTCATTTCGTACTTTGACATTACGTGCAGCAGTTTGCTTCAGTTCCCGTTTGGTACAAATTGAGCTGAAATTTTGTATACATGTGTAAATCACATGTCCTGGCAATATTCTAATAGCGATGGAAATGGAAAGACCGACACAGAAACAAATCCTGAAGTAGAGTAATGTTTTTAAGGGAAAAAATAGCGCAGTGATTTGTATATCCGTTGGTATTGATTACAAACATACAACTTGTATTAGTTGCTCACTAGCTGCCCCGGCACACATTGTGAACCTTCCCTGGACTTCGATCCAAGATGAAAATTAATGAAATCGGTCAAGCCATTGTCGCTTTTTGGCGAGACTAACGAACAACAATTAGAGGTAGTATAATTTTATAGAAGATATCAAGTTCATATGAATGTTCTTAATATCATTTATTTCTTTACTATCACAGAGTGGGTACAGTACTCATCTAAATAAAATAATAAAATAAGTACATACATACATAACCTCACGCCTCTATCTCCCATGGGGGTAGGCAGAGAATATGGAACGCCAATTGTTACGATTCTTACATACCTCTTTCCTTTATCAATAGTTGTCGGTATAAATAAATAAATAACGGATATTCTTTAGTTAGTATGCGTCATATTACAAGTATGTTCCACTCGAGTAACGCGCCGGCCACCTGAGGTACCTAATTATAAAACACAACTCACGATTCAAGTTTGTTATGATTATACATATAAGTAGCGTTATTTTAGGAACTTCTAGGAACAACTATATCTACATTTTTGACGTTTCAGAAGTGACTTGACTTGCTTGCTCAAGCCGAGCTGAATCCATAATAAACATTACCTACGTATAACATAAAACACCGCAGACTTCATTTCTTAAATAAAATATTTCACTAATGTCCTTTTTACCCGACTGCCAAAGAAGGAGGGTAATGTTTTTCGAGTGTATGTAAGTATGTATGTATGTCTTTTCCTTTGTGACCACCTGTAGCCTAAACGGCTTGATGGATTTTGATGTATGAGGTATCGTTAGATTTGTCTTGATTACGGGAGTGTCATAGGATACATTTTATCCTAAAAGTCCCACGGGATAAAGACATAATAATATTTTTTCTAAATTTCCCTTTAAAAAAATATGTATGCGGTATCATTAGATTCATTTCAATCACGGGAGTAATTAATATAGGATACGTTTTTTCTCAAAATTCCCACGGGAACATGTTAATTCTGCGTCAACGCAAAGCAACTCATGCGTTAGCAAGCAAAAAGATAGGGCGTGGCCTGGCATGCGGCGCGCGGCGCGGTGCGGAGGGGGATATGCTCGAGTATACAGCCCGATTGCGGGCACACGCATGAGGGCACACGTCGTTGACGGTCGTCTCTAAATAGCGATTTTATTCGATATATCCCTATTTGTATATATCGAAATAAAAACAGCTAAAAAGTTATAAATAAAAAAATTATTATTAAAAAAACAAAATACCCGACTGCACACTAAAAAAAGAGTAAAACAAGCCCCACAATAATATTGATCAATCAAATGCTAAAAACTAATTATGTAATACCGTTTAAACAATACCTTATTAAAAATACACTACAATATGTGTTCGTAATCGATAGTTAAATAAACAGAAACTTATTTTGAATACAAATTTACTGAATATAATTTATAAATGTTGATGGAA